CGGCCGTCGGTGTAATCAGCTGAGGACCGCGCCTACGTCCGCCTGCATTCGGTGACGACCTAGGTATAAAACAGTAGGAGTTTACGATACTGCTGATGTCCACTTACACATTCCTCCTACCCATCTCTTTTTTCTGTTATGTTTGCCTACACATATCACAGTACGCCGAGGAATGAGGTTGAGTTGCATTACCGGTTGCTTATAGATATTAGACTACCATGCGGTCCGCGCTAACAACTCGCACATACCGAAACTGTCTCTGCATTTTTCTCATACAACTTAAACCTACCCGGCAGTATGCTATGCGGTTAAATTTAACCAGAAAGGGGTTACGTAGTTCTACAAACTGCTCCCACCACGGATACTTATAAATCTCATAAAACATCGAACATCCACACGGCGTCCGCCACCCTCGGGAGTTCACTAGGTTGTTCCAGGCTGCTGCGGTGGCGTTGGAGTACGTCCAGGTATCCTAACCATCTTTCACGTTATGCGTATTAACCGGTGCATGGGTTGGGGATCACCGATATACCAAATAGGGAGGGGGTTATTAAGGGTCCGGGAAGTGATGCAATTGCCATAAGCATGTCATGCAAATACTCTTACCCAACCGCAGTACACTGCTGACCGCCCGCATCGCCTGTACGCATCGTATGCATCGTGCCTATCAAACGCACACCACTTTCAAATGCGGCGCCAATGATCCCATTGGTTAGCCGCTTGGCGGTTCAGGTTTCCTCGCCCCGGCGGCCAATCACATCACGTCCCCAGCCAGCCCTCATTTGATTGGTCATTGCCTACGGTTTTCCCTATTTGCGCGCCATCCTCCCCCCTATTTTTGACTTCATTAAAACAAACATTTATTTTTCTGCGATTTTCAACATTTTTTGGCTTCTACTTGCTAATTTAGTGCCCTTTGCCGTTTGCCCCGCCCGTTCTTCCCCTCAAAACCGCCATCCCGTTGTACCCGACCCACCTAGAGAGGATTTCTCACTGTGGCTGCCTGTTGGGCTTCTGCCCTTACCTCATAAGTCCCTAATAGTGCATTTTTGCCTTCCAAAATATGTTTCTGAATAACCCTATATTCGGAAGAATTTTAACCTTGATCGAAAATGAATGTTATTTTGAATTTACGCAGATTCCAGCGTTGGTGACTGTCCTAAACTAGGGCCGCCCATTCGAGCATATTTCACAAATAAATGGCGTCAGGAATATTCGATCATCATTTTTGTCAACGACCTCCCTACTCCATATTCAACGCTAAGACTTTGCCTAGACAAGGTAGTTAGCCGCGAGGAGAGTTTGCGGATGACCACTGTTCCTGATGTTAATGTCCCCGAGCCAAATTGCCCAAAAGTCTACACGAATGACAAAATCCAGTAGTCAGCAACTTGACTGCGTGCGATGAGCGCGGGAGCAGATAATCTTGATCGACAGACAAGCGCATAGTAACTGCATGGCAACTGCATACTTTAACACCCGGCCAGTGGAGCCGCGATGCACTCGGGAGCTGCCAACTGCGATAGACATGTAGCGGCCTAGCAACTACATCCTATAAATACTGTAACACCTGAGCAATTCGCCACCTTATGTCTGACTCTGTCTTTGATGGTGGATTCGAGTGAAAATCCGAAACGCCAGGCTAATGAAGCTCTTGTTCCAGCGATCATGTCTCCTTCTTTGGCAATTACATCCCTCCTCCGGTTGTTGTAGGATGCCATCTGGTTGCTAAGAGGTGTGGAGTTTAACTTAGCACGTCCTCCTTTTTATCGCTAAAATACGTTGAAAGCATACTTTGCGCTATAAAAGTTCTATGTTTTGCCTTGGACCGATAAATAAAAGAATCACGGTCGCATATACACTCCCTGACCATCTGGACTTCGAGCATCCGCTTTCATTAAGCTTGGAAGGGAAAGAACCAAGCACACCTAGATTTTGGCATGTGTTTTTAAAAAGGGTTGAACACGGGAGCATACTGGTCCCCTCCGTACTGCTTTGCCCTTAATATCAGAGTGGACGCAGAGTAAGGGTTGCGATGGTTAGTTTCAGATTAAAGACACTGGGTAGACTTCAATCAAGCAGTTCAAGCCATCCATAAAGTGCAAACAAGGCACTCCAAGTTCCTATTCCAGCGATACATGCAAAGGCAGAGGCGGTTATCACACAGCTACCCAGCCGAGGATCGGCAACGGTAGGGAGAAGGACCCGATTTATCTGACGGTAGACTGCGGACCGTATCATACGTGATTTGTGGTAAGAAGCGTTTTACGGGTTGGACAGCACACTGGACAGTAAGCTGACGAAATACAAGAAAACACGGAAATTTTTTGGATTTCTACAGAAAGACTTATCGTGCGCCTTCTAACGGCAACGGAAATTAGCGTAGCAATTAAAAAATGGACATAAAGTAAATTTAAAAAAACGGAGTTTGAGTGATGGTTCAAAGTCATGGGAAGTAATTATTGGTGACAGTGTAATGTCTGCAACGGCCGGTAAATGGATGCCAAGATAAAACCCCTATGACGCGATTAAGTGGGACCCTTCACCCTACAGCTGCCACCGAATCTAGTACTCGCAGAAGGCCCTGGTCCAAACGCTCCAGCTTCTCTGGCCAACGTTAAGCCCCTCATGTTCGTTCACGCATCCTACCACGTCGCGTTGCAGTTACGAAACATACAGTGAGTGACATATCTCATGAAATTTTGACTGAAATTCTGAAATGTGTTTTCGATTAGGAAGGATTACTTCAACGCAGTTGGAATACTGATTATCTTGCGCCATAATCCTATAATATTTCGGACTCGGCAGGATGTTAGTTTTTAAGTGCACTGCTTTTTAATCTCCTGTAGGAACCGTACTTGGTAAAAATTGACTACTTAATTAGCATGCATTTTTCTCATTGATTTTCGATGATCTAGCAAATTCAAATATATCTTATAGAAAAAATGAACAAAAATATGCTTTCTTTTAGTCACTTAATAGAGAATCACGTCTTCTTTATATTTTTTATTCAAGGGAAGGAGTATAGTTAGATTTTGAAAAAGTTTTCCACTTCCCGAATAATTTTGACTTAGAACTGCCATTCCACTACCGTTTAGCGATTTCCGTTTACAAGATGCGTGCATTCCACGTAAGGGAAATCATATAATCCTCTATGTCTTTAGGAAGATGCTATATAGAGTTTATAAAATTTTGCAATTGATCCGGACTATGTTGTACATTTTACGAGGAGCTGTCGTAAACGTCCAGATACGACGCTATGTGAATGGACATTGCGCGGTCTTAAAAAATCTCGTAATTAGAAACTTTTTAAAAACCTTATTATTTTCATTTCTTGAATAAAAGAAATATAAATAAGACGTGATTCTCTATTAATTGACCGAAAGAAAGCATATTTTTGTTTATGGTTTCTATAAGATATATTTGAATGTGCAAGACCATCGAAAATCAATGGGGAAAATGCATGCTACTTAAGTAGTCATTTTTACCAAGTACAGTTTCTACAGGAGATTGAAAAGCACTGTA